CAACAAGCCAAATTTTTGTCCCTAAGGCCACGTTAATGCCACGTAGAGGTATTACATGCGGAAAGCTAGCAGTCAACGAGATCAAAAATAAAGGAGATATCAACTCTTTCACTGAAAATCTTTCGTCCGAAGTACTATCTTCATTCGAAGCCCCTGGGCCAAAGCACTCCATCTTCTGATCGACCCACAACACATCTGAAGCTCTCTCTAAGCCGAAGTACCTATCGTCAGTATCTTTAGAAATGATTGATACAACGTTTGTATTAATTAATATCAGAAATCGCAGTATAGGGTGTAGGATGACTGGCCCTTGTCAATGTAATTAATGTATTGCAGAGAGTGATGTGAAACACCGATTGCAAGGATGAGGTTACGTGGTTTTGATCCAAAGGTAATCACATCAGCCCCCAGCTCCACAAATAGAAGATTTTGCAACCTGTAAACAGATTGGCAAAAAATGTACACAAACTTTGTATTCTTGATACCATATTCAACCTTCTACCTTGCTTATTCAGCATAAATTTTATCAACTTAGATCAATTCTACATTGACGAAAATGTACATGATTGTTTATTAGCTTACAATCATCTCTGATCTTAATCGGCATCCAAACATTTTTATCTCGCATCCAAGCATCTCACACGTCCATTATTGCCTTTCAATTTCGACCGTGTCTCCGTTCAAAAAGTGCCAAAATTTGCTTGCGTGGACCCAATATCTGTTGTCCACGTGACCATTGCAGAAAACGAGGTAACGAATGCCAATAGGTGAATTTTGACATTCAATATATTCATTCTATAATTTGTTAAAAATCACCACATATTACATAGTTCATAGCTTAGCTTAGGATAATAACAAACTATACATCTTTTTTGCATCACTTATATCGAATTTGATTAAAAAAAAAAAAAAAAAAAGAACTAGTACACTAAATATAGAATTTATTCCTCGTGAGACAATTACTCAACTTTCTATATTATTATTTGTCAATAATCTTGTATATCTACGGGTTTTATCAAAATAATAAACACATGCATCAACCATCTTCTCATAATGTACGATCCTATCAAAAGAGATAAAATGGTATTGTGTTGTTACGTTGATATTTATTGCAATTTTTCATGTTTTACTAGCTGCTATGTAAATCTTGTGGGGTATTCAAAATTTTGGTTCTGCTATATATACAAAATGACTTATATAATGGTTTACATACGTATAATGTGATGAGATATGATTGGATCATAATTTCTTCAACCAAATTAAAAATAAATAAATAAATAAAACTCCAGCTCTTTTTTTGATACCTCGTCTGTATATAAAATATTAAGTACAAGTAGCATTATTCTAAAAATTTTGAACATACATATATGTATTCTTTATACATGATTATTCATAATTATCATAAAATTAAGGTTTTGAGCGAAGTGTTCATATTAAATTTGAATATTGTAGGTGAAGTAAAGTTGATCTATATGATCAAAAGTGACATTGAAAATATTTAACAACTTGTTTATTGACTATTATGAAAATGATATTTTTTTAATGTATTTAAGAAGAGCTTGCCGACGTGGACGGACCCCAATGAGGTCCAGTTTGGGCATATGCCTGCACTGAACTTTTAGGCCCAACCCAAAAGTAATTTTTTTTTTTTTTTAAATTGTCCCAGCTAAGAAACCCAAATCCAATTCAATTATCCAACTCATACATTTACCATTCAACTCCCAATTCACCCATTTCTTCTCCTTTCGCCGACCATTCGACTTATGGGACACTTACAGACACTACACAACAAACTGTTCAATCTCTGTCGACTGCTGTTAAGCCATTTTGCTCTACCATTCAACTTCTCAACCTCTCAAAAACTCTCATTCGGCACCGTTTTCCCCCAATCTCGGAATCTCTTGCTATCCTTTTCATTTTAGTGCCCTAGATGACAGCCTTCTGATGCCTAGATTCCACTGGCAACTCTACATACGATAGCATAGCAGAAGAGGAAGGTGAAGCCACCAAAACAATCTTGTTTCTCATTTCTTTTTATTTGTTATTTTGGATTTGTTTAATGTTTCAAACTTTCAACTTTTTTTTGGTAACATATAGTGAACTTAATATTGTTATATAAGTTAGACGGCCTATTAATCTTTTCTTGAGTATTGTGTTTGATTTAAAATCATGTATTAGTTTTGTATTGTATATGGAATTAGCTCGTTGAATTCATTGCTCTGTAAACTATATAATTGCTTTTGCTTCAGTATTATTACCATCGTGTCCGTGAAATGCTTAGTGAATAGCTTTATTTTTGCTTTCAGTATTTGTGATCTGTGAATCAAATTGCTTCCAGTAACTGGATGATGTGAATTGCTGAGGGAAATTTCTTGAATCTTCAATCTTCCCACTGAAATAAATACATTGTTCGAATTCTATTGCAAACAAAAAATTGAAAATGTACTCTAAGCTAATAGCTTATTTGAAAAACTGATCATAGTTAAATTAAGCAACATTTTAGGAAACATAGGGAGTTCTATTATATGGTTGAGTGTCGGTGGTTTTTATTCAAGTGTCTGAATCAAAGTATTTAATTTGCTCAAGTACTGGTTTCTAGATTTTAAATCTATATTATCTCTAGAACTAGATTGAATGAAGCTTGCTAATTTAGTAGGAAAAATTGGATATGCTCTTGCTCCTATGGTTGCTAGATTCATCCTTCACATGCTAGATATTCCTCCTCTTTGTTGAGGCACTTAATGGAGTGATATGGGATTGGTCAAAGCTACATTCTCTCTTCTCAAAGGTTAGTAATTTACTCCTAAGTAGTGAAAATAATCATCAATAGTTTCATGTATTTTCATATTTGTATGCCAGATGAGATATGGCTTAAAACTTAAAAGTGGATAACATGTATCTATCTACTATGCTATTTAAATCAGGTAGTGTTGCAATAACTAATTTTATTGAAGCATGCAATGGAGTCAATATCACAGTTATGGTTGGTGGTTTCCTCGGGAAAGATGAAAGATGTGATATTAAAGAGTGTTTTATATACAAATCCCAGATTCCCAAGCTTCTGTTCTCGAGAAGCATGCTGCTGCCAACTGCAAGGTAATTGGCTTATATTGAGTTTTCTTGATGACCTTTTTTCATAGAATAATGCTATATCATAGTATTGCCGTAATATTGTTTTATATTTTTATCATCATTAAATTCATAGTCAAAAACTCAAAGTTCGGCATTATTATGCCTGCACTGAAAAATATTCCTGGCTTCTATGTATAGAAAATAAGAGCTGGGTGAACATATTTGCATGAGTAATGGTACCAAATTGTTGTTCAAGATGGACATGAATAAATAGTAGTTCATAATAATAAATAAATCATCGAAAAGATGGGCAAGCCTATAAAGGGACTTACCTCTATGAGTAACCCAACTTTTATGATTGGAGATCCCATGAAGACAGTTCAATAAGATAGAAATAACTTGCACTATATGACTTATATTGTGTGTTTGAGCCACATTATTTTGAAATAGTAGATTAATAGAAAATGTATGGTTAAAAGATAAAGAAAAATTTTGAATTTGTATATAATGTTATTTTATTAAAGAACGTGTAGTTGAAATGATGTGAAATCACTGTTTAAGAATGTATTTTTTGAAAGAATGCAGCTCGAACAGGCCAGTAATAACACTATATTATTTGTGCTCATCCGTGTGGTATTATTTGTGCTCATACATCTGGTGATAATGATAATGATTGTGATGTCATGAAGGTTTTTACCTTTAATGAGAATCAAGATGAGAATTCTCATGAGGTGCAAGTCAATCTCACCCTTGGAGGAATCGCTTATGTAAAAGTTACCAAGAGGCCGTGGCTATGTGATGGACTATTCCATAGAGACTTTTACTAAAATCATGATAAGAATGCATAGCCATTAATAGCACTACCTGTTATGAATTGAGCATAAATTTGTACTCTACGTGTGACAATTGAAGTTTGGTTAAAGGAATCTAATTTAAGGCTTAGTCATTTATGGCTTCCTTACATAGAAATTATTATCATTAAATGAAGTTCAAACCCGAAAGACCTCTACACATACTACATAGTATTATTTTGCCACTATATGCTCCTATTTGATAATACTAAAAATCTTATTAAAGTCTATGTCAAAGTAAATAATTAATTTTAACCATGTATTTAATAAGATCCACAAGCTTCTCAATCACATATTCCACCTCAAAGAAGGCCTTGTGCAACTTACAATTTGTCCAATTATGGAGGACTAAAGGCTTATGTGGACGAGAGGTGAATTTCGATCTTTCGATCAAGTGGAGGTAACAAGCTTGTTCCATAAGTAGCTTAGGATCGCTTTAAATCAAGTTTAGGGCTAAATGGAGCTCTACTTCATGTAGACAACTTTAGTCAAGCCCAAGCACTATAAATATTTTTTTTTTCAATTTTTTTATTTTATTTTTAATAATTAAATTTTGTATTTCTTTAAAAAGTAGAATCCAATGACTTATGGCCAACCTAACTTGACCCTTCATGGGAAGGGTCCATGGGCTGAATAAGGCCTAACCTCTTAGTCGACAAGCTAGCCCAAGCTCCACTCATTACCTATGGGTCGAGTTGAGGATGAGTGATGATGCTGAGTCGACATTGCTCGGTTCATAGCCACCGCTACTTATGACATGTCTATCTATGTTTGGAGAGTTTTAAAAGGTTGCAAATGAACATTATAAAATTAATAAGTTGTGAGGTAGATAATTTGACATAGAAAGCCCACCTTACCACATCAAACTGTTTTTCTCGAAACTGAAAGTCTTACCTCTAAAGTCACGAGTATCATATATTATATATACCCCCAGTCTTTTTCTTATTTTCACCAGCTGTTCGGTTTATTACCCCCCTTCTATTTTATATTTCTTGCTCCTCTCCAGTTGCACTGTGTCCATTTCTCTCCTTCTCCACCGACGCCTTTTACATCTGAATTTCTCTGGTCTCGGTATGATCACTTCTCGTTTTTAGCTGTGCACTTGGATTCCCAGTCTTTTTCTATTAGCATGCGAGCATTATAATTTCTCTCTCTCTATTTTTTTCCCCCTTCAATTCTTTGCTTCTTATCTTTAGCAGATCTGGGTTTTTTTTTTTGTACTTAACTTTACTACATTATGTGCTGATGAACTTATAATTATCTTCAATATGTAATTTGATCTGAAATTAATACAAAATTGATGTTTTAACAGCTTTTATACTTATTTGCTGCAAGTCTTAAAGCTATTCAGAAATCTGTAATTTTTCCGTTTGATTGATGTGATGATCTGAATTCTGAACTTGTGAATATTTATTAATTATGGTTAGCTTTGATTTAGTTCCCCAAATAGGATTTTGATTTTTATGCTGAACTTTTGTTGAAAGGCAGAGATCTCACAAAATTGGGTGATTTTGATTCAGATAAGTGAGTTGTCTGTTAAGGGCTTCGGCTAAGCTAATTTTTAAGAAAGTTGCTTTTCCTGACAGTAGCTATGTCAAGATCTGATGAATGCCTTTCTTAGAAATAAGCTAATCCAAACACGCTCCAAGTATATGTGACTTAGTTATCTGTTAAGAGCATGTTTGGCTTAGGTTTTTATTTCTAAGAATGTTGCTTTTTCTTGACAGTAGCTCTGTCTAGATTTGATGTATGCTTCTTTCTTAGAAATAAGCTACGCCAAATATGCTCTAAGTATAATATATCGTTTGTACTCAGATCTGATGGATGCATCAATGAATCTTGCAGAAACTTGAAGTTTGTTCAGAGTTAAAAGGCAAAGAAATGGTATTTGAAATGAATTTTAGTGTCTTCACCGGTGCAATAATAGTTATTGTCTATTTTGCATCAGCAAATGCACAAGCTGTTGTAGCTCCAACACCGATACCAACTCCGGCCCCTGCACCGGCACCAGAATATGTCAACCTGACTGACTTACTCTCCGTTGCCGGCCCTTTCCACACTTTCCTTGGCTATCTTCAATCCACCAAAGTCATTGAAACTTTTCAAAACCAAGCCAATAACACTGATGAAGGAATTACACTCTTCGTGCCGAAAGACGGGGCCTTTGCATCACTAAAGAAGCCCTCTATTTCTAACCTCACACAGGACCAACTCAAATCTCTATGCCTTTTCCATGCCTTGCCACATTACTACAAGCTGGCTGATTTCACGAACCTCAGCCAACGAAGCCCCATTCCCACTTTCGCTGGCGGCCAATACAGTTTGAATTTCACCGATAACTCTGGGACAGTGCATGTTGATTCAGGATGGACTAAAACAAAGGTTATTAGTGCAGTTCGTGCTACTGATCCGGTAGCAGTTTATGAGACCGATAAAGTTTTACTTCCGGAGGCAATCTTTGGCACTGATATACCACCAACCCCAGCTCCAGCTCCGGCCCCAGTCCCAGATACTGCTCCTGCAGCAGACTCCCCATCTGAAAAGGGGGGAAGCGAATCATCGTCGACAAATTCTTCACCTTCGTCTTCTTATAGAGTTTTGAATTCTGGTAAATTGAGCCTGTTGGCTTCGGCTTTTGTGGGTGGAATGCTTATGTTCTTGTGATTGCGTGTTTTGCTGCTCAGTTAATTTATGTCATTAAATCTATTCACATTTCTTGTTTCTTACCAATTCTTTTCCCCTGTATTTTATTATACCATTATGTATGACAACTTGAATTTTTGGTAGTAGCTACCATACTTAATGCCCGTGTTCCCTTATTATTGTAATTTTTTATTCTTCTTTCATTTGTATTCTCTTGTCATTAGCAATTGAGCAAATTTCATATGTTTGCACGAGTGAGGGATCTCCAAAATCATATGTTCTATGAATAACTAAACTTGTAACCACAACCCATGTCTTTCGTGCTCTTAAGCGTTTCTAGTATATTTATCCTTGTGCAAGTTGCCTACTTGTAGTGGCTCGGTTTGACCGTGCAAGATGACGGCTTGTTTGGTACATGTATTAGTATAAAATTCTACCCATAGGAAGTCATTTTGTCCATTTTTATTTTGGAATTCATGATTTTAACTAACCTAAAATCAAATATTTAAAGTTAAAAGCATATAAGATGGTACTGAAGTACTATGACTGCGATGCAATCAAAAGCAATTAATCTTAGGACCCACAAAATTTCCCAAGTTTAAAATGGATTTTACGAGTAGCCACTATCTAATCTTTATTACTTCGTAGTCGGAATAAGTAAAATTAACCAAAAATGAACTCAACATTTTTCAGATTGACCAAACATGCTCTCTTTCATTGCATTCATTTGGTCGGATAGAAGCCACATTGTGATGCATCATGTGCCCAAAAAGGAACTTCGCTTTCTAGCGTGTATCCGAAGACTAAAAGCTTGATTAATCTCTAAACTTTACGTTGCATTCATAAATGATTCTTCAACTTTAAGTAAAAAATTTGGTCGTCCTCCATAATGATTGTCCCATTAATCAATTCCAAAATTCAAATTAACATTGAGGCTGATTTGACTAATGTAATATATGGTGTAACTGTAAGGGTTAATTATCCAAGTTGTTATAAGAACAAAGCCACATGCCAACCATAGCATTTTATCGAACAAGTTGTGTGCAAAATAAGAAAATGTGCATCTTCACTACAGAAGTATCTCTCCAAGAAACTTTATATTTATAAAGAGCATTTTTATACATTTTAGAGAATATCTTTCACTTATAGAGTCAAAATTTGAATATACTTCAATAATACTCTCTATTTTAACTTTTCAACGAACATAAATTGATTTCTCTTCATATTTATTTAACATAATTTTTTGTATGTCATTTTGCATTTTGAATAGTTTAAGCAGCAAAGTCAATACATGTGACTCATTAAATGCATTCATTGTATATTAAGAATAGAGGTTGGGTTTGACTTTTAAAATTTGGAAAGCCAAACTCACTCTTTATTTTAAATAATTAAAATAGAGACTCTTAGAAAACTTAGTTTTTAGTATTGACTTGTTAAAATAAAAAAACATTTTGTATTTAGAGAACCTCTTAGAGATGCTTTTAACATTCAGCTATTATTTTCCTTGCTTGAGCAGGATTATATTGGGGAAAATATCAACTAGTTCTAGTGTGACGCCCCGAACTTAAGCTTCGAGTGTCACGTACTAAACATAAAAACTGCTGCCTTCGCTACATGTAAATACTCTTAAATAAAAGTATTACATGTTAGAAACTTATTTTCAATTTGGTAAAATATCTCTCATAAAATTTAATGACCAGCAGAAGTGCATGTTGACATGAAATTATACTTTACATTTACGGACTCGGCACTGCCACGGTTAGTTGGGGCAGCAAGTTCAACTATTTTTATAAAATTCATCCCAACTCTGTTTTCTATAAAATTTGCGGCATTAGAAAGATATTTTCAAGTAGTTTTCTAGGTTAAAATATGAAAAATTTCCAAGATCATATGATATGGGCGTTTTACTGAAAACAGTGAGGTATTGCACAAAAAGTTCAGATTGACCCTTCAACGCTTAAAAATTCATATCTCAGACCACGGATATCCAAATTGAGTGATTCTTGCGCCCATATTAAGACTACTCAAAGAGGAACGCAGTGATATTCTTAGAGTCTCAAATAGACGTTTATGGAGTCAGAAATAACGTTTTGAAGTTGACCCAAAAACTGTCCCTTTTTGCCTTTTTATCACTTGCAAAAAAAAAAAAAAAAACTTCCCTTTTTTCCTTTTTTTTCCTAGAAAAAAAAAAAAAAAAAAAAAAAAAAACGTTTCTTGACATAACATGGAAGATATGATTACATAATTTACTTCTGGTACCATATTGTCTTATACATATTTTTATATAATAATATAAGAAAAACATATGAAAACCAGTCAAACAAAACATACAAAAAAGAAACTTCGATGTAAGATAACTTTGTCTTTAACTCATCATCGATTATGCCGACTGACTTCCACCAACTCCACAATTATGGATCTGAAAATTTAGTATGGAATACTATGAGTATAAAGAATACTCAGTAAGATAACATGCTTGGATTTAACATGTTAATACTACACAAAAGAATGCATTCAAACACATACTTGCACATTCCGGCTTGTCGGTGCCCTTCGAACTTGTCCAAAGGTATAAATAGATATCTAACTTTGTGGACTTGTCCACATCTTTCATATTATGGTTTCTTACATAGCTTAAGCATAAATATTACCATGAAATCCTACCACTTAAGCATAGCAAATATCTTACTGTAAAACTTGAAGAAATTTCGGTTGAAAGATGAATTGAGAGTGCTAGGCTTTGTCCCCTTTTCCTCACGTATTCACTGCCCTTTCTTACAAGTGATATTCTTTTTTTTTTCTTCAAGGGAAATAAATGGCAGCAACATTTCTTATTTAAAGGTAAGAGAACTTAATGATTAAGTAAATGTGACTCTTCAACAATAGTCTCCACGTGGGTTGTATGGATGCACTTCATAAATTTAACTAAACACCTCATGCTTAAGTTAAACACTTCATGCTTGCCTTAGCCACCTCATGCTTGCTTGTTACCTTACTACAAAGATAACATTCTACTCTCGGCCAAGTGGAAAAAAAATGCTTATCTTTAGTAATTAGGTGTAAATTTTGACATTTATCCCAAACCCCTAATGAACTAATTTTGGTAAACTTTTAATAAATTGACCAAAGCAAATTTGGCAACCATTAATAATTTTGGCCATGCTAAATTTTGAAAAGTTAAATTGCTATCCTAAAAATTAAATGAGCACAAAATTTCGGAGTATTACATCTAGGGCATCATATATGTTACATCCACCACATTTATACCAACCATGAAGTCGTCAAAAAATATCGATTGGCGATCACACTAGGGATGTCAACAAGTCGAGTTGAAACTCAAGGCTCGAGCTCGGTTCAAGTAAAACGAAACGGGCTTTTTTCGAGCTCGAGTTGAGCTGAACAAAAGCTAGAGAAAAAAAAAGGCTCAACCCGAGCTTTCGGCTCAAGTTGGGCCGGCTCGATTTTTTCTCTCTTTTTTTTTTAGTAATTAATAAGGCAGCAAGCACTGTTTTAATTAAGGCAGCAAGCTGCTACCTTATTTTAAGGCAGTCGCTAACTGCCATTTTTTAACATTTCGTGGGTTTTTTTTTATTATTATAAAATAAGTCCCGAGCCAGCGAACCAGACAAGATGGCTCGGGCTAAGCCTAGAACTTTAAAATGGGGCTCGAGCCGAGCCACGAGCGGCCCGAGCCGGCGAGCCCAATTGACATCCCTCGGTCACACCAAGGTTATGAATTTCATAAGATATCTACTTTTTCCCCTCAAATTGTATGAACCCTAATTTAATATAATTATCCCTGTCTGTTAGATTCAAATCATAGAATTGCTTTCATTTACAAATGGTTGAACCATCACAAAGTTGCGGCATTTTGAGCATAAAGATTCCACGTACCTGTAAAAAGTGGGGCCTAACTCTTGGGATGCGGTAATATCTCTAAGAATTTATTCCATCAAACATACTCCTCCCTGGATCTAGGAATGGTGACATTTACTAAATGCCCTAACTAAATTTGGGCAATTTAGGGCATGTTTGGGAGTTTTAGGGTATAATTATTAGCCTTTTTTAAAGTACTGATTTTGAGTATTTATTAATGGACTGATTTTGAGTGATTTAAGTATCGATTTTTGAAACAGTCCAACTTATACTTGAAAGTTTGTTATTCATCAATTTTGAAAGTTTTTTAAAAAAAGAATAAAATTATACATATGCCCCTTAGTGAAATTTTTCAATTTAAGTTTTTTAAAAGAATAAAATTATATACATACCCCTTAGTGAAATTTTTTAATTTATATTAAATATTTTGAATTCTTTTTATTCATAACTATTACTTTACATGTAAGTAATATTTTTACTTATAACTAATATTTTTACAAATAATTTACTTAAAAGTTTAAGTTAATATTTTTTACTTATAAGTAAATTTTATCATTACAAGTTTATTTTGTATTGTTAAATAATTTTTTACATTTAAGTAAATTTTTCATATTTTAGAAGTGAATTTTCGTCTTATAAGTAGTATTTTTACTTTATAAACAAATTTTTACACAAAAGTAATTTTGTATCTTATAAGTAATTCTTACATAAAAATACATAGAAGTAAATTTTTTTTTATCATAAATTAACTTTTTTTACTTATAAATATTTTTTTAGTTAATATTTTTTTTTACAAGTCACTATTGAATAAAATATAGTGGATGAAAATAATTATTTCATAGAGGATAAAGTAGAAGAGATTATGAGAAATGGGCAAAATCAACCGATTCATTGATTGAGAGAAATGGTCAAAATTACAATATATTGATTTTGGGTGGTTTAAAAAATCACAATTGAATATTAAAAAAAAAAAACTCATAAAGGAGTATTGGCAAACTCATATCCTAATTATACGAACCTTATAATCGCATACGTTAACCTTAGGAAGCATAATCAAGCATTCATAAATATGAGAACCCACAATTAAAAGTTGCGACTTGTTTCCATCAAATCTTCCTTATTTACCAAAATCACTATCAAAGCAAACCCGAATGGAGATGTAATGCATTACTTCATAACCAATTAATGAAGTACAAGTAAGCGAGTGAACAAGAGACGGGTAGTTAACAAAATTAGTTAGAAGCCACTCAATCAAGGACCGTCATAACAACCAACTAAAAAGACAAATTGACCCTTAAGGCCTAAATAGAAATCTACAAATAGGCGTGCCTGG